TCACCCCAATAATTTCAATAAATTTTTTTTAAATCTATAGATAAATTTGTTGAGAATTTCCATCTTCACAAAATTGACTATTCCAAACATGGAATACATCTCCATTTACTTAGATCTTCAATTTTTTTCAGCAATGTTTTGTACTTTTCATTGTACAAATATTTCAATTCTTTTATTTAAATGTATTTCTAAGTATTCTTTTTTTTATTGATTAAGGTATTACATATGTGTCCCTATTCCCCCATTGCCCCCCCCACTCACGCTCATGCCCTCATCCCCCTGGTGTCTGTGTCCATTGGTTATGCTTATATGCATGCATACAAGTCCTTTGGTTGGTCTTTCCCCCTTACCCCCTCCCTTCTTTTTGATACTATTGTGAATGAAAGTGCTTACTTAATTTTATTTTCAGATTTTTCTTTGCTAATGATAAAAGTGTAATTGCTTTTTGTATATTGATCTTGAATCCTGTGTCCATGTTGGAATTGAAAGTGTGTGGTATGAAGAAACAATGGATTATTATTCGGACTTAAAAAAAGAAGGAAACCTGCCATTTGTAACAATAAGAATGAATCTGAAGGACATTATACTAAGTGAAATAAGTCAGACAAAGAAAAACAAATACTGCATGATCTCTCTTATATGTGGAATCTAAAATGGTCCAATTCATAAAAGCAGAATAGAGCATGGTGATTGTCAGAGGCTGGAGGGTAGAGGAAATGGGGTGGTGTTGGTCCAGGGGTTGTACAGGATGAATAAGTTCTGGAGAACTGTAAATACTGCATTTTATACTTGAAAATTGCTAAGGGAATAATCTTAAATATTCTTACCACACACAATGGTTACTATGTGAGGTGATGGGTAGGTTAATTAGCTTGATTGTAGTAATCATTTCACAATGTATACATATATCAAAGCCTCACATTGTACACTTTAAATATGTATAATTTTTATTTGTTAATTATACCTCAATAATACTGGAAAACCAACTCATAGGAAATGGACTCGTTGAAACAGAAAGAAAATTGGTGATTGCCGGGGTTGATTGGTAGTCAAAGGATACAAACAAAATTTTTAAAATCTTGAGTTTAATTTACGTGAGTTATACTTAATATTATATATCAATTTACCATATTAGAAAACGCAACTGAGAAATATTTTTAAATATTCATTCATTTAACAAAACTTAAAATAAAAATCATTTTATTGAAAATAGCAGTGAGCCCATTACATGTTAGCATCAATAAAATATTTTTATGAAAATAATTAATTTGGTTTAGTGATTTAGTGAGAAGTGTAGCATTGTTTTACATTTTTGCTAACCTCTAGCGTCCAGTGGACTAGAAGGCTGCTAGGTTCTATATCTTTTTTTGCATTCAAACTATTGCATTATGTTGCTTGATTGAAGTAAATGGAGAGAATTCAGCCTCTTGCAGTCATGAAGTCCTATGGCTATGCAAGAACTCCACAGTACCCTTGTGAGAGATTGAATGTGCAAAAGGCAAAGAATGTCTTAATGTTATTCTAAAACTAGTTTTGACCTCGCAAATCACGTGAACAGGTGTCAGGGACACTGGGTGGGCTTCCGCTCCCACAGGGCTTCCCCCTTCACATACAGGTACCTGCCTTGTTCCTCCCTACCTGATGGGTTGGGACTGAGTTGTTTGGGAAGGAGCTAGAGCAGGGCAGGGCAGAAATTTTAAACTTTACTCATGAGTACTAAGGTTGGTTGTGGCATTGATGAGTTAGTTCTGACGATTTTGTGTGTATTGTGTGAGAGAGTTTATGAGTGAAAATGTTGATGTTGGAAATGAGGGTTCTCACTGTAGGGAAGAGGAAAAATAGCCCTGGTCAGTGTGGATCAGTGAGTTGAGCATTGTCCCATGCTCTGAGAGGCCACTGGTTCCATTCCTGGTAAGGGCTCATGCCTGAATTGCAGGAGGCAGCCAATCAATGTTTCTCTCTCACATTGATGTTTCTCTCTCCCTATCCTTCCGCTCTCTCTAAAATCAATTTAAAACATTTTTTTAAAAAGAAAGGAAAAACAAATGTGGAATGGGGATGGTGAGGAAGACTCTTGTGTTTTTGGATTTGAATTGGCGATATCAGTCTGAACAATCAGTATAAATTTTTGATGTTTAAAAAATGTTTCTTTTTTCTGTCCAGTGTATGGGCATAGGAACAGTGGAATCACAGTAGCCATGAGCTAATTCAATATCCAGATATTTCCTTCTAAATTTCTCCTTTGGAGAAATGCCTGGTTACAATCTTGGTAAAAAGAGCACAGGTAGCCCTAACCGGTTTGGCTCAGTGGATAGAGCGTCAGCCTGCAGACTCAAGGGTCCCAGGTTCGATTCTGGTCAAGGGCATGTACCTTGGTTGCGGGCACATCCCCAGTAGGGGGTGTGCAGGAGGCAGCTGATCGATGTTTCTCTCTCGATGTTTCTAACTCTCTATCCTCCCTTCCTTTCTGTAAAAAATCAATAAAATATTTTTTAAAAAAAGAGCACAGGTAAGCCACGGACACCTTGTAGTGCCAGCAAGTGAAGGTGGGCGCAGTGACCAATGGAGCCACTAAAGGATGTGGGAGCTGCCCGGCAGGACTCCCACTGGACTGGAACTATTTTAATTTTATAATTTCTTAGATATTTTATATTTTACATATTTATAACTCCTTGTCCCTGTGGCTCTTATACAAGTGTAAAAGTAAAACAAGTGTACAAATGAACACATGGAATCATACAAGAAAATAATCAGTGGTGAACGATGGGACATCCCATGTGCCTCAGCTGAGTGGGGCTGGAAACAAAGGTTGAAATCCACCTTGTACACCTGGATCTCTGCTCCTACACAAGTCGCATGTGCCCTGTAGGGGACACTGTGGGTGCTGATCAGCAGCTTCTATGTGCTTTGATGCGAATGGCTCAGTCCTGACCTTCTTCCAATGTTCCCCATTAGACTACACAGCCACCTGTTCTGCCCCCCACATGAACTGGGCGTGCCTGGGAGTTCTGTCTCTGCAGTGGAGTACATACCCACTCACTGATTGGTACTGGAGGCCCGAATGCCCTTGGGTTGAGATGAGATTAACTCTGAGGTACAGTTTCTATTCCAGGGCTCCCCATAGGATCAGGCTGAGAGACTGGATCTTTGCCCGAAATCACATTCCTGCTTGGCTCCCTCCCCTCTTCTCTCCCTTATTCCCTTACTGGTTTCTCCTGGGTCTACTTTTTTAGCAACACGTCATTTCATTGAAACCTTGGCTGAGAGCCTGATTCTGGGAGAACTGGAACTAAAACAAGTTTGTTTCTGGGAGAACATGAGCCCAAAGGTGCCCTTCCGAAGTCAGGCAGCCTTCCACTTTGAGCTACAGTATACTCTCTGTCATCTGATGTCAGCATTCTAAACGCATACAGCCCTTGACTGGAGACATCTTCACTAAATATAGAAAGGGGGCCACAGGGTGTGTCAGTGATGGATGGATGGGTCTGATAGGGCCCTGATCTCTCTCAGTGAAGCAGGAGTGATCATCTAAACCATTAGTTCAAGAATTGGAGGAAGCATGACGGTCTAGAGGCAGGGCTCTCTAAAGCCTGCAGAGGAATTCCTGCAAGCTTTGCTCTTAAAGGTGTCTGGGGGCAACTGTCCTCTCTGGGGGCAGGGGGTCTTGCGACTTGCGACTGGAGTAGAATGTTCTTGTCTCAGGAGACACTGAAACTACAGGATGAAAGTTGCTGGCAAGCCTGGGTCTGAAAAGCTGGGGAGACGAGGATGGTGTCAGTCACTGTAGCGTTGAAGGTGAGCTGCAGCGAGGATGTCAGAACCAGGAGGTGACAGAAGGTTCAAACTCTCCTTGACCTTATGCATTGAGGTGGGGCTGCAGCATAGCTTTCAGGGCCCTAAAAGAAGAGGTCCCTGGGTTAAGTCATGCGGAAAATATGATCATAAATGTCAGTGTTCTGATTGGGAGAAATAGAGAAGGTATCACAGGAGGGAAAATGGGTGAGTAAATACTCTGTTGTGAGGTGAGCATTTTAAGTTCTTCTTTCATGTTATCAGGATTTTTCTACTACAGAAAAAAAATCCTGTTAACTTACAAATAACCTTAAATAGTTTATTGCAACCACATTTTTTGCACTATAATATGACTCTTGGGGGTTATTCTCACTTAGATATGATTTTATCATTGCCAGTGAGGTAAAAAGAGCTTAGATAAATCTATTTTCAAGGCACTGATATGGGATGAATGAACTATAATCAACAAAAATAATACCCACTTTCTTTTTCTTTCTTCCCATACTGCTTCCTAAAGTGGATGGGTTAGGGTCACAAAACTTTCACAACTTATATGTGCTGTTTCTTCTCTTCTCCTTGATCAGACTTCCAAAACGTGGACTCGAAGCCAGGCACAAAGTGTCCCAAATGCCAGATGGGGAGTTTGGGTTGTGTCATTCAAATAATGGACAGCTTATGACAGTGTTTGAAAAGGGACACTACTATATGATTAGGAAGATCAATGGATTGACTGGTTAGTTGATCAAATAAATTAGAGACAAAGAGACCAGCTGAGTCTGGGTAAGAGGTGGATAAGTGCCCATCCTCAGAATTATGAGTGGGAGGAGGAGAAGGCGGAGGAGCAAGTGCAGATTGCAGATGTCAAGTCAACAGGGCTTATTGATTCGAGGTGTGGAGTGAAGTATAAGGAGGTAGGAATTGAGGATGAGCCCCACGTGCAAGATCTGGCCACTTGATGGGCAGCACTACCCTTCACTAAGGAAGAAATGTCGGGGAGCAGGCGGGTTTGTAGGGAAGAGTTGCATTTAAGGACATATCCAGTGTGAGCTGGCTTTGAAACATCTAAATGGAGGTAGATTTCTACAAAGCAGTGGTTTATAAGTCTGGAGCCTAGGAGGGAGGTTTATTTGTAGAGAGAGGTGATGGTAATGACTAGGAAGTTCATCCCACCCGGTAAAATTCATTCGCCTCTTCTCTATCCTGTCCAGTGTTTACCAGCTGGTTGTCAAGGAGGAAAGACTTCAGAAATCACGGCGGGCAGCTGACATCATCGAGTGCTTTTCGGTGCCTGTGAGCTATAGGAACGCCTCCAGCCTGGATTCTCTGCACTACTTTGCTGCTGAGTTGAAGCCCGCCAACCTGCCTGTCACACAGCCCTTCACAGTGGGTGACAACAAGACATACAATGGCTACTGGAACCCTCCTCTTTCCCCTCTGAAAAGCTACAGTATCTACTTCCAAGCACTCAGCAAAGCCAATGGGGTAAGTGTGGCCACACGGAGGCCATTGCTCATCTTGTTTGTATTTTGTCCTTTCTCATATGAGAAGGCAGTGCAGCTTCAGAGTGTGGATCAAATTCAGCCCATACTTTTTTTTTTGCAAATAGGGTGTTTTATTTTGTCTTTACTACAGCACTGACATTTCATTTATATAGTCTATGACTTTTTTGATGCTGCGACCATACAACTGAATAGTTGACACAGAGACTCTCTGCCCCATAAAGCCTAAAATACATACTATATGACCCTTTACAGAAAAAAATTGTAGATCCCTGTATTGGAGGATTTAAAAAAAATGGTGTTTCACTTGGGCAAATCACATGGCCTGAGTCTTAATTTCCTCATCTATAAAATACCTATCAATTTGATATCTGTGAATGTAGAAGCATATTTTAGTTAATCAGTGGATACTAGCTCCTTTATCATTACTGTTAATCCCATTAGAAAATATATTTTTCTCTCAAAGACAAGGTAACCTTTTTAGTGTGTCAAGCATTTTTGCTGGACAAAATATATATTTTATTGTAGCTTCTATGCACTGCTCTTGGTCCATGTTCTTGGGGACCAATAAAACCCATGCAATCGCCTTCTCAGGTGGTAGTCTTTCCGTTGCAGAAGATCTTTCCTACTCTCCACCTCCCCTCTGCACAACACAACCATCTGGTCTTATTTCCTCCAAGCTAGTCCCTCTTATGACACAAGTTTATCTTTTCTCTCTAGGATGCCTTTGTGGACATACTCCAGGTTAATATATTTTATTCAACAAATTATAATGAACAACTGATATATGCTAGGCCTCTATAGTTCATACTAAGGTTATGTAGATGTGCCCTTATAGTGATGCAAGGGAGTGGAGCAGGTGCCATGCTCCCCAGTGCGGCTGGAGAAGGGGAAGCTGAGCCAAAGCAGATTTGGTGACGTGTGAAGAGCCTGTGCAGGCTCTGGTGGCAGTCATCATCTTGTGAGAAACCTGGGTTGAGGAGCTAATTAACATTTAAAATGTCCACAGACCCATTTAAATTCCACATTGGTATTTCAGTTCTACATTTATTACTGGTTCAAGCAACACTCCTCACATAGAGTATAAAGCTACAAAGAGAAGCAGCCAAACTGCCTTCCACCTGCCCATCTGGTCTTCCGTCTGCATGAAACACGGATGTATTGAGGGGGGGACATGAAGATGGGCAGAAGCATCTTGGGGCCCACCTTGTTCCTGATTCACTGCATCCCATAACGGCCAGTTTATTGGTTCAGCACAGCTCTGGGAAGGCGTGGCCCTCCTGCTCTTGGCAACATGTCAGGAGATGCTGTTGGGTTTGCATGCTGTGAAGAGGAGTAATAGTTGTACTCAATTCATACTCTGTTACATTCCTACTACGATGCTCATAAGAACCCAGCAAGAGACCCAGACTATAGAACCCAAACACTGACAACTGGACCCCAAGAGAAGCATTGTCGGCCCTGAGCAGAAGAGCAGGTGAGGAAGAAGGGCTTCTGGAGGTTCTGCTCCCCAAACACCACACCACAGTCCCCTTCTCAAGACATGGGGTTTTGCCCTTGGGAATGAAGTCCCCCCACTCTTCAGCTAGCTGATCTAGGAACCAGTTTCTACTACTCCTTCCAAGATGAGCAAGGCCTTGCTCATCAATAAGCAGTAATCATTTGTGCTCTCAAGCCCACACCATGTGTACTCCCCTTTTGGATCTAAGACTTGCAGTAATGACACACAAGCAGGAATGGAACCAGAAAGGTGCTTGGGCCAGATGTCCTGAGGGTGCAGTTGGCCTCACAGGAACAGAGAGGAAACGCTGTGGAGCTGTTGTATTTCTCTGGCAAGAGAGAGATTCCACACTGCTTCCAATTACTGTACGTAGTATTAAGTTTTACTGAACAGGGTTTGTGTGAAAAGGTCATAGGAGCAGAAAAGCTATTCTCAGTCTGACAAATCCCTGCCTGGCCCCTCTCAGATTTCTCCACATCAAAAAGCAAGCACACAGTGCAGCTAAGCCTGGAGGACTTTTGAGTCGAAATGGTATAACCCACAAATTCCTTATCAGCCAAGTTGTTGTTCTTGTGCCAATACATCAGAAAGACATTTTCAGTATCCACAGGCTCCCACAGGCCCCGCTTCTAATAAATCATTCAAAGAGCATTTGGCTGAGCAAAGAATCAAAATAAAGAAATCAAGAGTAGAGAAATATGGGATAAAATGACCCACAGTGAGCGTGGACACTAATTATATATAGTGTTGATGCTAAATACTTGCTCCAAATATGTTACAAAAGAGAAGGTTAATATAAAAACTAATACTTAAAGAGAGGATGTGTAATGTAAAATAATAACAATTGTGATCTGGGTCTGCAATTCACTATTATGTCAATAGAAACTGAGAAAGCGTTAGAGGATTTATGAGACTAAATAAAAATCTGCTAGGTTTTCCACTTTAGACAAGATGAAATAAATACTGCTATTTTATTTTTGATACCAAGAATTTTTAAGGTATAGTTTTTAAACATAAAGACAGTCTTCCAAACTATCATTAAAAAGCCAGAAAACAACAACCTACAAAGAAAATGGGGAGAAACAAAGGAAATTATAAGTAAACATAAAAATAAGCAACTATAAAGTAAGACAAATGCATTAGATTTGATTTTTTTAAAGTAGTGCTTTCCTCCCCTCAAAATAGGTGGAAAATATACCTTGGGTCAAGTAAAAACCAGAATTCAGCAAATCCCTGGTACTGGAAGATTAAAAACAAAGGATGAAGCCAAGTTATATTAAATTAAAACAAGTTACACGAAAGGATAAAGGCCATTTGTTGCAGGGTAGTTGTAGTCCCAGTTGAATAATTCACTATCAATCAAGTTCATTACTCCCAACTTTACCTGCAAGTTTCAGTCAGAGCATGGTAAGAATTTTAGGGTTCAGATGTCTTTATTCTATGGATATTAAATGGCTAAATATTCAGCCTTTACAATCACACTGCCTACACACAAAGCCATATTAACTGTGTGACTTTAAGTAAGCAATTAAGAGTTAGATATTAACCTGACGGTGTTGCTCAGTGGTTGAGCGTCAACCCATGAACCAAGAGGTTACCAGTTCAATTCCAAAGTCAGGGCAAAGTCAATGTACACGCTGAGGTTGTGGGGTCAATCTCCAGTAAAGGGCGTGCAGGAGGCAGCCGATCGATGTTTCTATCTCAGTGATGTTTCTCTCTATCCCTCTCCCTTCCTCACTCTCTAAAATCAATAAAAACGTATTTTTTTAAAAGAGTTAGATATTACTGATTAAGTAAACATCTAGCAAGCTCATACTATATGTAAAAATAAAATACGCCCTTCCAAGTGCTGGAAATAAAGTAGTAAGCCAGTCACACAAAGAACTCCCTGTCCTCATAGCATTTACATTCTAGTAGGGGAGAAATAAAAAATAAATAAATGTGTGAAATAATATTCTGTCTGAATAGTAGGGGCAGTCCCAACTGCCAGGCACTGTCCTTGGTGCTGAATTCTAAGTACCTCACTTCTTTGTGGTTCAGGCCATATTGTAACCATTTGTTTTGAGTACAACTATCTTAGAGATCTGTAGCATTCTAGAGTTGGATGGATTTTGAAGTGTCATCTAGACTAGACTAGAAATCAACATGATATCTCCAATAAAGCATTCTTGGCAGGTCATTATATAGTCTCAGCTTGACCTGCTGCAATTCTCTGGAGAGAGAGTTGATTCTTTGGGGAGCCGGTAAAATTATCAGCACTTTCTTTCTTCTGCAAAGGCAAATTCGGTCTCCTTAACTCTCTCCACTTGAGATCTTGTATTGATTGGAACAAATCGAATCTTTTTTCCTATGTCAGCCTTTTGGAGAAATATGACAGCACCAACTACCATCCCTGGCCACCCAGGCCGTTTCTTATTGATATTTAATATGCAATTACTTCTGTTTCTCACATGGCATGATTTCTGTATCTCTTCCATCCTATCTCCTGTTCTCTCATAGACAGACTTAACATTATACTTCAGATATGGGTTTGCCTGCTACACTTGAACCACCCTTCTTCTCGTGATCATGTTCTAAGACATTATTTCTCAAACATCCCAAGATATATTTCTCACTTAGGGCCTTCACACAAGCGTTATTTTGCCTGAATCTCTTTTATTTATTCCTTGAAGAACTAATGCCTTCTCATTTTTCAGTCTTCATCATTAATATCACATCCTCTGGAAACTCCCTACCTATGTTATCTAAGATTCATCCACACCAGTACTCACTTGCATGCTAACCTGTTCATTGTCTTTAAAATGCTCAGTGTTTTTAAATTGCACTTGTTTTTGCATAGTGTGTGCCTCCTTTGTTAGACTAAGCTCCAGGAGGTAGGAACTCTGTTTTGTTTGCTGCTGTATCTTCCATACTGAGTATAATATTTAACACATAGTAGATACTCAGCATCATTATATGAATGAACGAATGAATGAGGTTAGAACTTGTTTCTTGTTGTTTCTAAGTCTCAGTGTTCTCATTTATAAAATAGAAATACTTATTTGAGAGTGAATTGAAAAAAATCTTGAATACTGAAAGGTACTAAATAAGTGTGAGTACAGTCTGAATTTCACTATAGCATGAGAGATGTGGTTCTGAGCTATTTCCACCATAGATGGATGAGCCCTAAAGGACTTTCCTTCTGTTAGAATAGTAAAACTTTCCCCCAGCTGTCTCATTTCCAAAACTCCAGGCTTCTGGGCAGCCTTGATTTCCTCCAAATGGTACCCAGAGTAGCAGTCTCAGTTGTAAACAGTGGGTGGGTGCAGTTTTGTATTGTTTCTTTCCCACTCTTCCCAGAATGAGGTCTGCTGACTCTACTGTTCTCTGTTTCCCCACCATCATTAGCCATGATTGTGAAGTTGAAAGGACCGTAATTAACGGTTGAATGCAAAACAAGTGTGGCAGATTCATGCCGATATCTGTCAGAAGCCATCTCTTGT